AAATCTAACACAAAATTGTAAATATTTATTTTTCTTGATTCAGGCAGAGTGTGAGTTTGGATGGGGTGTGGATTTTCGATCATCTGTCCTAACACATCCACATCCAGTTACACCCTGTAAAAAATAAGTAGAGAATAATAAACTCTAACTACACGTTTATTACCATTAGATAAGCCCTCTTTAGGCGTATGAGTATAATCTATTCTTTCAAAAACCTTTTTTTCATCAACCTTGGCAAGTGTTTGTAACCCGTTATAAATTCATATACCCGTGTACTGTTTTCTTTTTTTATAAATCCTTTTTGAGTATATGAGAATGTGGCTGTAAGTCAATGAAACATCCATATCAACACTCTCAAAGTTCTACAATCAATTTATTAAACTATTTGTAGTAATAATTTAAATCAAAGTCAACAGGAGATATTGTTTTAATTATGATGAAATAGAAGTTGTCGATGATGATTGATTATCCGAAGACAGAAATAAATTGATATAGTCAGCATAACGTGTTTCGATATCTTCCCGATTGAGATCAAACTCAGCAAGTGAGTATATATGACGACCTTGTTTTCCTTGAGGATTTTTGAGAAGCCAATCACGCATAGCCATTTCTATTTCATTCGACCAATGAAGATTAAAATTGTCATATATTTGATGGACAACACCAATTGAATCTTTCATCAAATTGTCATAAGTAATATCGAAAATATGTTTTTTCGATTGAGCAAGTATACCATTTTCTGATGTTCGAAATTTCATCATACATTCAATTTCTGTATCGACATATTGACAACATCGTTTTATTATTCTATTGCGACTGATCGTGTTTGTTTTGTCAAAATACAAATCAGCAGCTGCCAATGACAAACTACACAGTGACGGAAGAACTTCGTCAATACGTCGATGTGGCATGATTAATAATGCATTCGGATAATGTTGAAGCAATTTATCCAAATAAAAAATATGAAATGATGATTTTAATAGCCAATGCGATTTTGGCATATCAACAGTATTTAACATACGTAGAAATGTTTCATGATAATCATATACATAATCTTTGTTCATTTCCTTACGAATCCAACTGTCAGAAGTGTCATCTTCATCATCAGATAGAAGAGCATACATACAAATATAGCCAGCTTGACGTAGAATATGATAATCTTCTTCAATATCAAAATGTGGATGAGATGCAGCTATTCGAGCGATCATATTGGACAATTGTTCGATGTCTTGTTGAGAAGATTTGAAAAGATCAAGTCGTCGTTTTTGTCCAATCGAATCTGATCGCGGAATCGGTGGAACAACTTCAATCTCCATATCAGTGAACAATGGTGCACGACAATTCGGATCACAGGCAAGCAAATTGTAGAGTAATGTTGTACCTGTGCGTGCAAAGCCACAAATTATCAAGGGACCAATAGTAGGCAAATTTTGATTGAAAACTTCATTATGTTCGACTGCATAATTTAGAACACGCTTACAATTTGTATGTAAATTATGAAGTTCGGACAGAAAAAAAATTCGACCAATAGGTGTTATATAATCATTACGAAGTACACTTTGACGATATGACTCGAACGTACGGAGTATATCACTGTGATAACCAAATTGATTTGTGGCTTGTTCAGTCAAATCATCTTCGTGTAAAACAGTATCATTCGAATGATCATTAGTCGTTTGATCTGATGTTGTACTCATTGCATCAATACGCAATTGTTTTATATAAAAGGCTCAGAAGTGAATATTCTGTACGTGTGCGTTTTTTTTATATAAGAGCCACCATATGAAGACGAATGATAAAATTGTGTCAACTATTAAACTACAAGAGAATAGAAGCAAGCAAGGAAAGAAATATTATGAGAATCTCGACAGGTATACTCAGAGGAAAAAACAAGTTATAGATACTGGTTATCTTCATTTGTGCCCTTTGCTTGACAACAAGCATATGTCATAAAAAAGAATGACGACTGCAAAGATATGGTTATCAAAGGCTACGATTTAAGTGATCAGTAAAATAGATCAAATGATCAGTAAGCTAAATAATTATAATACCAATATATTCAATGATTTCCCAGTAAACTAATTGAGTTATCAGTACATTGAATGAATGATCAGTATATTACTTAAATGTAGTGGCGTATCTAGACGATGGCTAGGGAGGGCGTCACTCTTCCATCAGCAAGAAGAAAAACTTAATAATTATCTTGAAATTTTTATAGTTTTTCTAGCATATTATATAGCTCTAGAAATTCAGTTGGCGAGGAGTTAGTGCGCCTTTCAAAAAGAAGCAATTGGCTATAATGAAGGTCCTTCAAGAATCCTAGGATGTGCGATCAAAAAACCATAAATCGTGAAAAACGAAGTGTCAAATAAAGAATCACGTCGTTTATGAAAGATCAAACCTCGAACTATTCTCCTATGTACTTGTCTCAATTTTCACTTGTTTGACGAAAATTGACTTTTTTTTGAGGTGCCTTAACGTATTTTGTATTAGTATAACAAGGATAAAGAATGCATGATGTGAGTTCCACATTTGAGCCCGAAACGGGCTGCGCTAACAAGTTCAATAAAACTTTATTAAAAAACCGAGCACTGCAGCTTCACATGCTCAAGGATTTTGGCATGCGCGATCGGAAAACCATAAACAGAGAAAAACAATGAAAAAGATTTGTCGCTTTTTTCTGAAAAAACAACCGACTGTTTGTGAAAGATCCGACCTCAAGCTATTGTTCGATGCATTGATCTTAATTTCGATAATTCTGACATAAATGGACATTTATCGACGGGAGAAGAACTTAAAAAACTATATTGTGAATCACAACAACAATTCCGTGGGTACTTTCCTTGCAACTCTACTACGAGAATAACCACTTGTAGGAAATTTTTTTGCACACGACGTCGTTTATTGCCATATTCGCATGAGCTTCTTATAATGATGAAACTGTCATGACTATTAATTTAAATAAAAAAAAACATAATTTATTTTGTAAACTAATGTTTACGGTGTCATGGTTCTTGAAATATCGTGATTAGTCGATGATTTATTTGCAGTACTTAAAAACTCGACAAAAGTAACGCTATTTTAATGACATAGGAAATGATATTCTCGAAACGTTATATGTAAACAAGATTTTATTCAGCACTTTGGCTGAGTTAAGAAAAATAAATACACAAAAAAAAACTATCGCAGTTATTCAAATGAGATAGATATATTACCTCTGATGCTATATAGAGAGATTGCATTCAAGCGCTTACTGAGAATTCATTCGAAAAAGTAAATAAACCTTTAAGTTATATTCTTAGTATTTGCTCAATTAATCATAAGCATGAGACTCCGTTAGGAGTAGTTTTTTAATTTTATGAATATAATTTGATTTCTTTCTGTGAGGAAGGATCGAATCATCGGATTCTCATTACATAGAAACTTGTAAAGAACAAAATTAAAGAAAAAGATGTTTAACATCATTCGAAGCTATAAAGTTGATAATTGCTGTAGAAGAACTCATAGAGCATTCGATCAGAATCTCACTGTACTATATAGGGTGTTCAGTAAGTCATTAGCCAAAGAAAAATTTGAATATCTCAACCGTGCTTTGATCCAATAAGCGGATATTTTTACCGCTGATAGAGGCCTATTTCTAGTTCATATTCATATGGATAACGTTGACAGAAACTATTTTGAATTAAAAAACACTATCTACGTTTAGAACAACTTTAACTTGTAAGACATCGTACTTTATCTGACACGAATTTAACCGGGAATATGCCTCTATACTTTAAAAAGAATTAGTCTACTTTGGCTAGGATATGCTAAACTTATTCAAATTTATTCTTCGCGGTAACTTTCAGAACTCACTGTATATAGAATTTTTTCAGAATTCACATACCATGACATTTCTTTATCGGAGTCAATAGTGATACTTCAGAACAGTTTTTGTCAACGTTATTCTTGTGAATATGGACTAGAAACAGGCCTCTATTAGCGGTAAAAAGTTTGTTTTTAGTTTTCATGCTATACCATTTCATTTTATTTTCCTTTCCTAGCTCGGAGTGGATATTCTGTTCAATTCCCTCTTAAGAGAGGGTCCGCGAGAGAACCACCCTAGCTCACTGGGGAAAAAAATTTTTTTTTCAATTTTATTTTCTTAAATGATAGACCTAGGTAAACTATAGTTAAATCCAAAATATTAGATCATTTGGTTTTATCTATGAAAAGTGCGAGCTAAAACAAGTTTGAGGGGACCTATTTTGACCCTAAAAATCCACTGAAAATGGATGTGCTCAGTATTTTGACATTTTCTCATGAATGGTTTGACCGTTTGAGATCGAGCACCTCTCATTAGATAGAGAACAGTATAGGCTCCAAATTTATCCAATTTTGATGATTCATATCTTGGATAAAAGAAGCGCTATAGATCAAAAACTTTCCAAATCTCAAGAAATCCTACATTCTGGGGTAGCAGTATTTTGGACTTTTCTTGAATGGTGCAAGCGATGGCAAACTTCTTTTTTTATCAGATATAGATCTTGTCAAGACAAAAAAACTGGTGGAGGGGGGGAGCAAATTAGCATGGCTCACACTGTGCTCTACCCTACCTAGTCACCATTGATTCTACCTCACAAAGTCATACAATTTCTACAGAAATCACGAAAACAGATTTCAGATTCGTGTTCAGCTTGCAAAACTGACTTAGATAGGATATTTTAAATTGATTCCTTAGGGTGGGTGTGGGTGTGGGTGTGGGTGGTGAGAGTATGGGTGTAGATCTTGCTTTTCACACCCACGCACCCACACCCACGCACCAACACTCACACCCGCACCCACCCCACACCCACACCCAAGCACCAACACCCAAGCACCAACACCCACACCCCACACCAACACCCACACCCACACCCCACACCCACACCCACACCCACATGGTGAAACGAACACAAAAGAATAATAAAGAAGATCGATATGTAATATAGTTTTTGTTTGATCATTTTTATAACAAGTAGTTATTGATGTTGCTCTCGATCTAAAAGATTGCGATTAGAACGATATTTTCATAGATCCAAAAGCTCACGGCATGAACAGCTGTCGATCACAAACTTCTGCACGCGATTATTGTTTCGATCAGACACCAGTAAGTTTCCCCATGGGTCAAATGTTAGATGAAACGGATAACTGAGCTGACTTGGATTACTACCTTGACCGTTCCCACCAGCGACGATATTACCTGATGTATCACCTACTGCCCATCGCACTATACGATGATTGTTGATATCTGCTACAAATACAGTACCCCAATCATCCACGATCACACCTAGGGGTTCATCCAGTTGGTTTTTGTTAGAACCCTGACCGTTTCCACCTGCTACCACCGTTCCCACCGTCGCTCCTTCTTTCCATTGGGTGACACGATGATTAAATCGTTCAGGAATATAGAGTGTACGATGACGATCAATAAAAAAGTGATAGGGGGCAGAGAGCTGGTTCAACGCACTACCCCACCCGTTTCCTCCAGCCACAATTTGCCCGTTTGTTTGACCGACGGGTGCAGGGAACTTTAGAATGCTGTCTGATCCTGTTATATACAAGGTTCCATCACTGTACAGGTTGATTGCCTCAGCACCTTGGTTGATGACAGTTGTACCGCTAGTTGCACCCTTATTCCATCGTTGAATTCGTCCATTTCCATTAGGATACATCCATCTATATCACACTATTGTTACGTCAAATATTCGTGTTAGAGACAATATTTTTCTAATTATTCTAGACTCACAAGTGCAAAAGTGAATATTTGAAGATTGCGAACAATTGACAAAAGAATTTAACACACTTCATCCTGAGAACCTGACTTTAATTAATACGAACTTCATTTTTTAGTCTCGGTTATTCGATGTCTTTTCAAAGTTGCCTTGCGTACCACCCTTGTCATACCCACATTCGAATTTTCGATGTGGTAGATCTATCTCTTTCTGCGTTAAAAGCAAAATAAGTAATAGAGCATTGACTACCAACGAATATTTTATCAAGAGTTCGATTATTAAGTTTTGGAAAGTATTTTCAAAATCTTTGTACTAAGCGATGTTAGTCTTGCGTCTAGTTCGAGTACACTTTTTAACTATAGCAATTCTTTTCAGTATTCAATACATAGTTAGAGAATATTTCGAATATAGGATTAGCTCTCCAAGCAACCCCTATAAAACAGTGAATAAACCAGGAATTTACCCGAGGTCTGCAACAAAAATTGTTCCATTTTCGTCCAAAGCTACACTGTGAGACCAACTCACTTGATTGTTTTGATTACCTATACCGTTCCCTCCTGCAACAATGATGCCAGCTGTTGAACCCATGTCCCATTTAATGATGCGATGATTGAAATCATCCGTTATATATACTGAAGCACACTCATCTACGCGAACACCATATATTCCCGAGGCACCAAACTGGTTCAAGTTATTTCCTGTGCCATAGCCTCCAGCTATAGTGACTCCATGTTGTACCCAAGTCGCATTTGCACAGATGCTATTTGGAACCGAAACTGAAATGAAAACACAAGTCAACATTTCGCTCAAATAGTAGTTAGCTAAGTGGAAATACGTGTTCATTTTCCCTCTAACTAGTGAGTTTCACTCAAAACGAAAGGAACAATTTCAGAACACGTAATACAGTTAACGTTTATAACTGATGTTTCTTAAGGAGAGACAAAGTGTGTGAAAATGCGTTGAAACTCATCATAAAAGTGGTCACTTTCCTCCAGCATTGCGTTCCCGATGATGAGTTCAAAATAACCGATAGAGTGGGCCCTAAAAACGGTTGGTCTTTACGAAACTCACTTCACCGTGTTTTTCTAGCCTTACAGCAAAAAAACACTCAAAAATGCATCTAGTCGCTCGAAAAATCGAAATTCAACATATTTCTCAGCCTGTCCTGGTAATACTGTTTAATGTGTCCTCACTTTTTTGGACAGCCGTCAAAAATATTCATTGTGCACAATTATTCGTCTCCATTTTCGACGATAGACGTGCCCATGCAATAGCGATATTCGCTTTATTCGGTTTCTTGACGCAACAAGTCACATCATTCATACGAAAGGCCCACGCTAATATCTGATAGATACAGAATAAATACCAGTGAAACGTAGTAGTCACGCCAGAACGAGCACATAATTAGCATAGGGGGATAAAAATAAAGGTGCTACAACTTATTACAGATAATTACTGGAATTCAGTTATCTTTCAATTAATATTTTGACTGCGGTATGGTTCCATTGTATCTGAGTATGAACGTTCAAATGCGATTTAACAAACTCGTTAACATGTTTTAAAAAACTAGATTCAGAAAGAACGCACCTTTTAGCAACGTTAGTTTCTCAGTGGGGTAAAACTTTTTTGGCAAGACGGCATAGCGAACAAATCGCGCCATAGTCATGGAGACTCATCTAGAATATATACTGCTCATTCTATTGCTTTCACAATTGTCATGATTAGCATGGTAACTAATGAATTAAAACAAAAAGAACAGAGTAAATCGATAATGTAATGTGTTCTGTTCAGCTTCTTTTATAACTAAATGTTTGTGTATTGATGACACTGGAAAGTTTAAAAATCTTTGCTATCTGGTTTATCAGATCCTTATGTAAGAATGCTTTGAATATGACAGAAGGAAATATGCTTACGTTTTGTAATACAGCAAGACTGAACAGTACCGATTAAAATTAATAACCAACTAAAGAAATAGAACATATCCGTGCTTTCTTAATCGATTGATTTATGACAAACAACCATTTAAACGACTACTTTTATAGGCGAATCGCGTAAATAGAGATTTTATTGCAGTAAAGAGAAACCATTCTCTAAAACAGCGCCGAACGCATCTATTATATTCGCACTGTTAGTTGGATTCATACAGGCATATACATACTTCCTTTGACCGCTTTTATGAATACAAATCGAATCAAATAATGTTTCAATACATCCTTTCAAATATGCGATTGCTACAATTCTTCTATAGAAGTAATCTTCCGATTCTCCTGAATCGTGATTACGAATGACCACCATATCAAACCTTCGAAAAAAAATTTTCTAAACGTCTAACACGTAAGATTGACATCGTTGGAAAGAGTGCAAAAAACTGAGTATTACCCTAGGATATGAGCGCGGGGTATAGTATAGCCCCAAGCAAAATTTTTTCAAACAAAATTCCCTGCAAGAAGAACTTCTTTGTTCTTTCTTTAGTTTCTTCTTTCGTTCAGTCATTAGCGATGATGTATATATATATACGCTTACGACAGAACGAAAAGAAAAACTTCGTGTACATATATTGAGAAGAGTGTATAACATTCTTCACGATGATAATTCATAATTAAAAGATTATTTAAAGATTTAATTATATAATAAAAATTCTATAAATTCTGAGTATTAAAATTAGCTTTGAAATTTAACAATTTATTAGACGACTAAAATATTTTCTGTCATCTGAAGCGTTCTTTTGCTTAATTCATATTCAAAAATCTTTTTTTTTTTATTTCTTTTTCTTGAAAATCGTGTAAGTGTATGACACTTAATCCAATCAAGTAGAAGGAACTTCATTTTTTCAAGCTGAATTAATCCGTTTGCTGTCTACCATATGCATAAAATTTGATGAAAAAGGATTATGTTCTCGGTGAATAAAAATAGCATATTCGGATTCAGCATGATCAATTACCACCACTCATTTTGAGGGTGTGGGTGTGGGTGTGAGTATATCTATTCTCAGCACCAACACTCCACACCCACACCCACACCCACACCCACACCCACACCCACACCCACACCCACACCCACACCCACACCCACACCCACACCCACACCCACACCCACACCCACACCCACACCCACGCCCAGTTTATTGTGAAAGTTTCAGCTCTTTTCGCTGTTTCTGTCATAAAATACAGTTATCTTAAAATTGCTTCTAAACACCTACAGATACGATGTTCTTATCTTAGACTAGGAGCAACCAAAACATCTGAAACCTTCATAATAAACTATTCTCACTAAGACCTATATATATGAAAAGTTTCGGGCGGAAGCTCAAAACTCACTTTTCCTGATGTGCCTGAGGTGGACCACAGCTTTTTCCATAACACATAGTAAAAATATTGTATCTCAGCAGCAAGAGGCTAGCGGCACAAACTCTTTCCAGAGAACTCATAGCTCATTAGGGCCTAGTGTATGCACTGGTTCAGTGAACACCAATATCAGTGCAGATAGTGAAACCAGTGCAGTCAGTGTCAGTGTATCACTGCAGACAGTGCGCTTTGTGTCAGTGTGTCACTGCAGACAGTGCGCTCAGTGTCGGCGTGTCACTGTCAGTAATTCACTGTTTTCACCGAAACTGCACATCCCTACCCACACCCTCAACGATAATCTGAAATGAGAACTCGATTACAAAATATATTTAATGGGCGCCCAATGGCACAATACTATCATTGAGCAGATCTGCTCTTCTTCAAGCCATCATTCATGATCAATGTATAAATAAGTTAAAAAGTGATTTACGTCTGGTATAATATCATGGTAGCTGCATTGTGTACACTATGACAATCTTCGATTTGGCTCTTACCGTGAGGGATTTCTAGAGTGTGGATACAAAGAAGGGATAAACCCAAAATTACATCCACACCCACACCTTTGGTGATGATTCTTCATTTTAGTGTAACACATTTCAATTGTTTAAACTCGATCCGTGTTGTAACCATTCATTTTTATTACACTGATGTATTTGGGTGTGAGCAGAGATGCACCAAATCCCAGCCTGACATCCAATCAAACCCAGGGTTTGGGTTAGACCGAGCTTAGATTTGGTTCACTCATAGGTTAGGGTATGGGTGCGGCTGTAGTTGTGAAGATTTGTTATTATTGCAAGGTGGCTGGTGGTGACGTTCGTCGTTCGCTGATCTACACGTACGGGTGCCCATAGCCGGCTGGTGACTTTTTTATATCAGTGACTCGAAGATATGGAGTGTTGATATTCGTATGGATGAGATTACGGGTGATGTGAAGTGAAAGTTATCATATAATGCAGAGACACATCGACAGCGCTGCTCACGTCTATATCAAACCCTTCCCCACACCGTAGCATTATTGCAGTAATGAAACAAAGATAAGAAAATGCGAAAGAAGACACAGCAAATATCAGTAAGAAAAAAAATGTGCAAGTTTTATTTAAATTAATACAGAGATAAGGGTTCTTTTTTTTATTTTGTTCGAAAGAAAACCTTCTGTGTGTTAACTTGGTAAAAAGAGTTAAAGTTTCTCAGGATTTAAAAGCGTAAGAGAAGATGTTCTCGTACAACAACCTATTTCTAGCTATAAGTTTGGTTATTCTGCAAGAGTTAACACCATATACTGAATCGATTGAATGTCACACATGCACACACGCGATGGAATTTAAATACTTCGGGTCTTTGATCACTCCTACACCTCCAGATTTTTATGGTCCGATATCATTCATTCCCTACGATACGTTAAACTCTTTTACTCCATCCGATTGTAAAACAAATTTAACAGTACGGGAAGATGTAAGTCACTGCTCATATTATCTGTCTATTCAAAAGGACTTTTTTTTCACTATTGGGGTAACCAACGTCGGTTTGACACTCGGCAATAGATCCTTGGAAACTCAAAAGGACGAAGAATTTGTTACACTTGAAATTAGTATTGGTCATCACCCTTTAGTTATGCCAACAATGATTTACGAATACATTTGTAGAACAGACCGATGCAACAGTGTTGAAAATATGATAAAAATTTTAACAGCTACAACATTTGAGTTCGATCGGTATCATGAAATTCTAGCGCAGCTATCTACAACAACATCTTTTGAAAATAAGCCTTTACAATCATTCTCTTCTTATTCAAATGACCAACTCCTAAATGAAGAAGAACCGTTAAAGATGCTCTCCATGTCGTAACAAAAATTTCTCTCAAACAAATCCCTGCCTTATGGCTGAAGCTATTACCTGTGACAAATACATTTGTGGTGGTTGCGAATTTAATGCTCAAGACAGTCATGGAATGTCAATTATCAGATCCACAGGGTTTCGACATAAAGAAGTTTATTCTTTAAAAACTAAACTAAATTCGATGAACTTTCGATATTGGTGCGATTTACCTTATTGCAACAGTGAAGAAAAACAAAAAAAAAATTCGGTCATTATATCAACTCAAGTTCGATATAGAAAAGCTTGAACCAACGCAAGTTACGGAGAAGTCAACAACAATCACTAAGTCAAGTACTAGTGTTGCTGTAGTATCTAGCCTATCGAATACTCAATCTTCAACAAATATCAATACACAACCAACAAATCCGAGCAATTCAGCAAGAATTGCTTTAACTGAATATCTAGCGCTAGTTTTTCCTATACTGGCGTCTCTCGCAATCAGCACGGTATAAAGAATACACAGTATTCCTGCCAACGATTGATAGACATACACTTGAAAGAATGACCGTCTGCCTGGCGAAATTAAGAGCACCACTTAGTCGAGAGTTTTATTTTCATACATTTTCGAAATAAAATCTAAAGTCGATGAAGGAAACGTTCGTTGTGGGGTTCCACGTAATGACAATCGCGAAAAACAGGGATTTACTAGTTTTCTAAAGATAAACGTAAATATTCTCGATAGAATAATTTATCTTTTCAGCTTTATTTTCATAATTAATACGGTATGTTCATATCAATATTTCTGATCGAATAAATGAAAAAAACCGGTAAAATTTTTCACCCATTTTGAGGTCTATTTGATGTCTCATGGATTTTACTGACAATGCATTGTACAGGGTGGTCCGACAAAAATTTACCCCTTTCTGCCCTTTTATTTCTACATTTTTAGTACTCAATTTTTAAAAAAAAATTTTTAAATAAATAGAATTAGAAAAACATCACTTGATAGAGGTAATCTTATTTTGGAAACCTTTCGTTGTAATTGCAGACAAAGAAGAAATAGATTAAGAGAGGGTTCGCCAGGAAGCTGACTAAGGTAAGGGAAAGGTGGCGGCGGAAAAATTTTAGATTTCGATTTTGATCATCTCATTCGAAAGCCCATAAACATTTACTATGAGAACCAACCTATTAGCTCATTTCTGATTTATCTGTAAGAAAATAGTCGGTACCCATTTTTTCCACTTCTCGAGTCATTCTCTAAAAATCGATTTTTTCAATTCTGACCGTATTGTACGATTTTGGATGAATGTGAGTGTGAGTGTAGATGTCTTGAAGATAGTATTCATGTCCACACCCACCCTCGGGCAAAGTTAAGGAAGGGGTCGTAATGACAATGATTGAAAACCGAAGACCCTTTCCGAAACTCTTGGAGATGGTCCTGAAAATATTTTCCCTCAAATACGAATCTTATTATTTTCGATGTTCTATCTCTGCTGAAAACTTCAGCTCAATGGATTGTACTATTGTTGGAAACCAGCTATGCTCGCAAGGAGGTGAGAGTATACTCTTAAGTCGAATTATAATAATTTTTATAGGATAGATAGTATTCACGGTAAGCTTCAGTTTAGTAAAAAAAAGCTCTGTATGTAACTATTAAGAAAGCTGCGATACACGAAAAACAAAAAGTGTCCTAAAACTATGGCGTCCACTTTAAGTCAATATTCCTGACATTTTGCTTTCTGATTGGTCCGTTTTCCTGAAGAGTAGTACGATGGATTTCTAGAATCTCAGATCTGATACGAATTCGCTGAATGTGATGGGAGTCCTACTTGGTTCAGAATTTATCATTTCCCCACATTCGATCAAATAAGCTAGTGGTATTGCAAACTATTCGTAACCATTCGAATCCAGTCCGAGCCACTCAGAACTACTCGGAGTGGCTTCGAATAATTTTATTTTTCTTTGCATCGTTCGCAAGTTTCGCTCTCGATAAAGGATATTTTATTGAGGGAGTGCTTACAACCGAGCTGACAGTTTATTGCGACATTTTTTTAATATACACACCGTGTTCTAGTTCGAGCTACAAGATAACGCAGCGAACTGTCAGGTGATACAGATAATGTTTCACCTACCATCACTACGAGTTCTACTCATAAGCCATAATCTACGCCAACTGTAAGAACATTTTTTTTTGTTGCTGTTGTTGCTGTTTGCCATCTTTTCATTCCTTTTTTGTGCGTTATCGGCCTCTCAATAAATTTTCTATCTACCTTAGTTGTCTTCCTGCGTTAAAATATGACTCCAATCAACGTGGCGTTGTTGCCCTTGAGCACATCCGTTGCGGAGAGCTCATGTTCGTCTGTGATGTGTCGATCTGCAATTACTATCCTTTAGGGTGTGGGTGTGGGTATGAATGTTCTCTTTACTCCTACCCACACCCATATGTGATGACGGTACTAAAACTATACCAATTGCTCCTGCTGCGTCTTTTAATGATTGGAATAAAGTAATGTATGTTTTGATATTTTTCTTTATCGTCCCCGAATAGCATATCGATTTCATACCTAAAGTTGGACGTTTATTTGCATAACAATATAAAGGTACTCTCAATCTCTTCCTAAAAAATTATAATAAGATTAAAAATTTTTAATATTTTATTTCTATTCGTAATATTATACTCATACTTATTAAAAAACAAATTTTAACTATGATTTATGAAAATAATGACAATGCTGGGTATTTTGATAATATTGTTAGATATGACATATCTGGCAACTTATGAGTTTTTGTGTGATACTATGTAAGTTCTTTTTTTATAAAAAGATCTGTTTTTTTATATAATGATACTTAATGAGTGCTTAATATTTAAAAAATGTTCACTTGGATACAGAAAGAGAAAACCGTGAAATATTTATATCAATAGCATAGTAATAAAGAACTTTTAATACAAAATCATATTAAATTAGTTATGTTTACCTGTATCAGAAAACCAAGCATGTATTGTATACGCTTGTGTAAAATATCGTGATGCTGTTTTGAATGTTTCATCTGAATGAATGATAGAGCATATGCCCAAATTTAATTTAATCATGTAACATAACAAATATGGAAGATTGATTATTTATTCTGAATCATTTAAATGATAATAAGAGATGAAATAATCTTTTTACATAGTATTTATTATTCGAGAAAAAAAGTTCGTATGTAAATATGTAGTCATTTATAAAGATCATAGTAAAAAATACTTGAGATATAAAAACAAATCTTTCAATTGTTTTGAAATTTTGTTTTGTTACTATTTCTTTATTACAATTCTTATTAAGAAATTATTTTAGGAGAAACTTTTGCTTTTTTTTTTGTGCCTAATCATAACTAAAATCGTATACATACCAAGATAATTTAACGATTGTTTTGATGCAAAAGCAATTATACGATTAGGATCAGCTGAATCATGAATCAGAAAAGGTTCATTTGATGAATTCAAACGAAACATTTCTGGTATTACAAATGTACGTATGTTTATTCGTTTCGGAGAAGGCGGTAGTATTTCTAAACGTTTTCGATAGCCTGTAGATCTTAGTCGCTGAAACATTAGTATTTCAGCTGCTGTCCCGTATTGACGCCTCTACAATTAAAATTATCATAATAAAAAGACTCAATACTAAAATATACAATTTTTTTGTTATTTGATCATAAACTCGAGGCAGCGATGTTCTTATATCAGAAATAGCTGCTTCTCAAAATTCATGTATCGCCTGCAAAATATGAAACGGCAGAATGCGTTCTTCATGTCGATGAATTCCTCTCATAAATTTTATCTTATCATCGAATAAAGTTACTGATACATTACAACGTTCGTCTGTGCAAATTAATCTCATCGGACCATTATTATTACGTTTTTGAATACGATACAAGTTAGTGTTGATTTGTATTGCAGGTGTACCCCTTTGAGTTTTAGTCCAGTGAAATTCAATTTGACTGTCCATTAAAATCGTGCAATTTCAATAAAGCAGTTCTTTTTTTTTTGAATAGACATTTGTATTCTTTTAATTTGTAAATATTCAGCAATATCAGTAAATTTTTAAATTAAAAATATAGTAGATTTAAAGAAACGAAATAGCAGAAAATGACTGCTCTAATCTGAAATAAACTTTCCATGCTAAACAACTAATCAATATAATTAAACATACCTCCCTAAATGTTTATATTAAAAAAAAATAGTAAAATATATAATAATTGAAGATAGCATAACGAATCATATAGATAATTAAATGACGAAGCGACCGCATTGATTTGAAAAAAATTTAATGCTTAAATACGAATACCGTACTAACTTTTATCATTATTTATTTTAAATTCCGCCATTAACTCGATTAACTTAGAAAATTAAACATTAAATTCTGTTTGAACGATATTCAATAATTTTTTCAATAAAAAAGAAATATTAATATATATTCTGTAAAACTAATTAAAGAAAACAGCTTAATACATAATAAAATTCATACTTTAAAAAAATTATGATTTAAAGAAAAAATATTGATGTTAATGTTATGTAAAGGGCACCCATTGAAAAAGTATTGAAACAAAGTTTTTGCGAAATTAATTGTTTTTATCTTCATTTCATGGCGCCTATAATATAAAATAAACAAAGTACCTGAAATGAGACTCTCTCGAAAAGCTCTACAACCCACATGATGAACCTTATTTTAATTATGTACTTTTTTGTTCTAAAAAAAAATGTGCGATCACTTTTCACAGCATCGAAAATTGGTCTCACCGAATTTTGCTTGTTTTGAAAACAAAAAGTACAGAATTAAAATGAGCTTTACTATGTAAGTTGTAGAGCTTTTCACGTCACATCTTGTGGTATATTTTCTTCTTTAATATAACGTGTTAGATGATGAAAAAATAAAATATAAAACGCAGCCAATTTTATTGGTCTACTCGTTAATTGTTTCAAAATTTTCCTATAAATTTTAAGCTACTCGTATCTCTGTGTTCATAAGAGGTAGAAAGCTGAAATCCTATCGTAGAGTAGATTTAGATGTCTAGTATATATGCTGTGAATATTAACCTATTCTGCCGAACAAACATATAACAAATGAGTATTACTTGAAGGGATCAAAACTTAGGACATACCCTTTATATATATTTGTGTGTGCTCTCTTGTTCTGTGCTCTTGTTTCTTTTCTCTTTAATCTATCCTTATTTACCTTTATGTGGTTAGTGTTTTCCCAATAAAACTGAACTCATATTCACTTAAACTTACAGTTAAAATCAGGGTTGCCAAATCTTCTGAAAAGTCAGGAGGTTTTCTGAAATTTGAACATTTTTCCGATTTGTTGTCGAATTTCAAACATTTTTAGATGGTAGCTTTACTAGCGAAATTAATTACGAGTATAACCGATTAATATTATAGATTCGTATTCCGCTATCTTCTTTCCTTACTTAATCTTTTGTAGTTTCTGAGTTGTGCAGCCACTAACGAGTGCTTTACTATATCAGTAGATTTTTACTTTGCTGAACTTAAGAATGAATACTAATTATGTGTTTTTTTTGAACGATTTTGTAAACATATTTTAGCTCAAAAACATGTATTGAAGGAATTTTGAACAAAGGAAAATTTGAAAAATAATGTGGTATTTATATTCGATAATCTTTATTATTTTTTGTAAATAGAGTTTTGGGCTTCGTAAAAGAATCCGACACTAGATGTCTTTTGCTAGTTTTTTGTTGTATTAACTAACAATTGAAAGCCATGCAATGGCAAATTAAGGAGATTGTTCATAATCGAATGAAATGAATATTCTCACTCACAGACCAACTAGTTAAAAACATGAGCTGCCAATAGCGTACACAGCTCGAAATGTTTAAATTTTAAGATATTTACAGTTTGTTATGTGTCCACACTACGAAATTTCATCAACTTTTACTTTTCTTTTTTCGTTATGGTTGGATGGAACACGACTATTCACATAAGGAGAAGCAATATCACACATATTCAAAAGCAATTTGACAGCAATTAAAATTTTTCATTTATTACCTTTATAATTAAAAAAATGTTGTCTTAGATTTCGTAGACTTTGCTTTTTAATATGCGTGATATTGTTTTTTCTTATGTAAATGGTTCTGGTCCATCCAACCATGACGAAAAAAGAAAACTAAAGCTTGATGAAATTTTGTAGTGTGGGCACACATAAAAAACTGTAAACTTCTTGAAACTTGAATATATCGGTGTGTATATGCTATTGGCAGATCATATTTTTAATTCGTTGGTTTGACAGTGAAAGCATTCATTTGATCCGACTATAATCAATCTCCATAGATTACAGTACACGGTCTTTTACTCTAAGTTATATAATGGTTGCGTTGTCTTTCTTTACTATGAAATACTTTTTGGAAACAAAGTATGAGTCAATAAACAAAAAAAAAGTGAAGCCTTTTTTGCAGGTATGTCAACATGATAGCCCTTGGCTTGCAGAAAGTTACTCTTTCTGATTTTGAAAACAAGAATTTCTAATTTTTAAGTTTTTCATCTAGCAACCCTGGTGAAAATACCTGAAGCGATTCTTTTCTTCATTCTTCACAGAAAGAACAAGCAAAAAGTACATTTGTGATTCCACAGAAGAAAAAAAAAGAATTACTATCTAATTCAAAAATAAATAAACAATTCTGAAAAAGTAAAATTTCAATGGGCAAATCTCCAAATGAAATGGTCAATTGTCCATTTGTCTCTCTCATGGCTACGCCTCTATCGCGCACCACATAGCGCAAAAAGACACGTTGTTTTCATCTCTGATCTAGATCTCTAAGTTTTGGAAGTTTTTCAGATTATTCACAAGTAAATGTCATTTACATCTCAAGTGCCTGCCTTTCTTAAGGCTAATGAAGCATATGTTGCACAATTCGACAAAGGCCATTTAGCCCTGCCGCCAACTCGCAAAGTGGCCATTGTTACATGCATGGATGCTCGCATCGATCCAGCGAAGATTCTTGGATTGCAAGAGGGCGATGTAAGTGTATACGAAATATGAACATAAGACTTGTCAAGTTATATTCTATTATCTAGAGTCATGTGATTCGAAATGCAGGAGGTAAGTTCAGTTGATCAAACATGAACTTTGAAAAACTTGTTGAAGCGTAGGTCGAGCCGCAGACGCTCTTCGCTCACTCATCATCAGCCAACAATTGCTTGGTACACGAGAGATTCTCATCATTCATCATACGGATTGTGGTAGGAAAATAATTATCTACAACTCTATCTATGCTACACCCTTGGGCAAAGATCTTTCCCTCCTCTTTCTTGGTATATTGTTATATTCACATCAAGTAAATTGTCAATTGAGCACTTTGTTTGAGTATCATGCCTAG